ACATCCCAATTATGATCAAATTACTTATGACAGGTATTGGATTATAAACATCTTCAACAGATCAACGTAGATCAATCAACCTGGAGTTCACCTTGTAACAAAGTATAAGGTGCAAAGAGAGAGAGAGAGAAAACTACATAGAAAAATTCTATTCAGTTCACTGCAGTTCTATCTCAAGCACCACTGCTAAGCAGATTTGGTTGAACTGTTAAAATTGTGGTTATAGGAAAAACAGAGAAAAATCTGAGACAGCTGACAGGAATAACCAGAGGCATGGAAAGACAGCTCTATTCAGAGTCATAGATTTGGATTTCATTTAGAGTCCAGATTAATAAATGCTGCCTGGTATGAATATATAAAATAATGATTATTACAGGCAATTCTTCAGAAATAAGCCTGGGGCTTATTGTTGAAGCTGGTCACAAACGTTCTTTCCTAGCCCGTAAGAATTCTGGAGATTTCAGAAAGGTCTTGTTAGTATCAGGATAAATCCTTTCACAATTTCCACAAAAGCAGAGATACTCAACTTATTATAGACAATAGTTGAGTGGTAATGACAGTTGCCTTGGATGCATTAGATATTCAGCTCGGTTTAAGTCTCTATTCAGCTGGATTCAGAAGAGGAAATTGAACCAAAGTCATGTCTTAAAGGATAATACCCTAACTAGTAGGCTCTGAGTATTGTAATGCAGATTTCTCTCAAGGTTTCTTGTTGAACAGTTTTATTTTAAACAGCTATTTTCTATTTGGAATTAAAGCTTCCTAATGGAATTTTCTTTGAACTATCCTTCATATGAGAGAAACTTCAGAATTGATAAAGCAATGATTTCTACCTATAACAGTTAACTTGAAAAATTTCCAATCAGCTCCGCTATTTCAAAGAGCAAATGTAAATAAGTTTCAGACATTTGTGAATACTCTTTTTCCTTTATGGTAACACACTAAGAGGGGACAGTGAGATCGGGCCGTGAAAATCTTTTCTGTTCAAGACATCAAGTGATTTAAGGCTAGAGAATCATTGCTATTGATCATTCACAAATGAACCTCTTAAATAAATAAAATGCAATGCAAAAAGCATTTTCATTCAGAATTGATCAAGTGAAAACATTAACAACATTCGCACTATTTTTCTTGTGCCAAGTGTCAATGCACTTGATGATTTTCATACCACAGAAGATAAGGCCTTTAATTTGAACTCTCACTGAACTAAGTCATCTTAATAGACATTTCCTTTTACAGATTCCATCTGTAATCTTGAAACTACACTGTTTCCATATGAACTACTAATCTTCATGTGAATTTAACTGCAAGTCTCTTTTTCATTTCCAGAGTTTAACTTACATTTGACTGTTACGTTATTACTTCAACACAATGCTTATTTATTATAACTATTTATTATCATAACTACTTTATGCAGGGCTTCCCAAAATACCCTGATTCAAATCAACCAGAAGTAGTCTTCTTTGAAGACCTCTACTCACCTCAAAGTCTACCACTCTATCAATTCATGGATTTAAAAAATCTTCTCATTTATAGAAAGGATTTTAAGAATTTTATGTGAGTAGGAGACTACTCACTTTCCCTTCAGTTCTCTCTCCTCTCAACATGAGTTGGTACATTTTTTTTATATATTTGTTTCTCATTAATAACACTTATCTAAGCATTCACTGATTTTCAACTTCTACTAACAAACATTTTCTCTAGAGCAATCTGCCAACGCTATGTTAAAACAGTTTCCTATATCAGCAGGTCCTCATGCACAAAAAAAACTGTTAATGTGTTGGTTTAACGGTATTATCATTTTACCTTCACTTAGAAAGATAAGGTAGTTTTAAATTGTGTTTGTTGTAAATGGCAGTTCTTCTAAAGATACATTATAAGACAATGAACATCCTGTGTGGGAAAACATAAATGGTGGCAAATGGTCTGTACATAAGTCGTCTCAGTCAGTGACCATCTTCAAGATACGGATTATATTCTCCCTACTTGAGTTGAATGCTATCCTACTACATGAAAGGCTTCACTGCAATGAAAACAGACACTAGTGGAGGCAGAAAAAGACTTGTCTTTAAAAAAAGCAGCCTTCCATGAATACAAGTTTCCATTCTCACCACCAATTTACTATATTACAAAGCAGCAATAGTTCACAATGTAATACACTTGGATACCAAACCAGGCGATGCATCTACTGCCAGAAAAGTAATGTGTAATGAATCACATTATTCCTCCAGTGTTTTAAAAGGTAGAAACAATAATAAAAGAACTGCCAAGCAAATCCACAGTTCTAATTTTATACTGTCTGTAGCCCTCTAGACCAAAAATAATTCACAGATGTCACTTTCACAATTAGCATTTCTATTAAAAAGAAAACCAGACTCATCCTAGTTGATTTTAGGCATTGGCTTATTCACCAGAATAATTCCACTGAGGTAGATAAATGCTTTTGCATAAATAAGGAACAGCACTGCAGGCCATCATAAAAATTTGTGTATTGAATAAGACAAAATTATAGCCTAGGAATTAAGTCAGAAATTTTCACATTCAGTTTGTGCATGCAAATATGTTAATTTAGTTAAATATTCCATAGTTCAGATTAAGACATACTGCTTCAAAGAATTTTCCAAAAAGCATTATCACGTCTTAATCAATTTCAACTTTTAGAGCTTCGAAACACCCCATTTTTCTATGGTTCATAAATGTCAATGCACTTATGAATGAAAAATTCTTCCCATCTTTTTAATTTTAAAAGCTTCTTTTAAGGTCAACTTAGTTTGAAAATCAGATACATGAAATCTCTCAGTTCTACGTTCAAAGGAACTCTTAAATTAAAATAAACTAACAGTCCTAAAAATATGGGAATTCAAAATGGGACATGAGCAGAATTTAGGCACCTTCAACCATAATGGTAAATCTGAAGGCTCTTTTCTTAGCCTGAGAACATCTGTTCTCTGAAGACACTACATTTTTCTATGCTAAATCAGATATAGTAGCTGCATCTCTGTGCATGGCCAAAGCTTACCTACCTGGACAGTACCAAACATTTCACTGCATAGATTATACCTAAGCCTGTCCAGAATGTAGAAATGAAGCCCACTCTGTGTGGGCTGAGGAGGTGAACCAACAGGTGCTCTTAAAGCCAGCCATAATTGCTCAGAAGCTATTTCTTTCTGAAGTGGTATGTGAACAGCAGCCATTCATGGCATGACTACTCAGCCCAGAAGCAAAACCCTCAGTTGCAATCCCTTCTGCAGTCCAAAGCTGAAAGTAACATCTTTTAGCAAAGCATTCTAATCATTAGGCTATGGGAACATTAAAAGCTGGAATAAGGATGAGGATATATTAAAGGTCTCCTGTTGAAGCTGTATCATTGTATGGAAAATAATTTAAGCTTCATTGGGCCAGAGAAAGAACACAAGAGGGAGCAAGAGTCTGTAGCCTAGTGATTTGGGCACTCAGATGGAAAAAAATTGTGCTGAGTTCCTGGCCTTTGCTCCATAGAATGCTCATGAAATTTATCTAACAGTCTTTCCGTAGGATAAGTCTTGCCTTGAATCTGGCTAAATTTTCCTTCTTGATGCCAGTTTATATGTAACATTTGATTTAACAGTCACAGTTATCAATTTGAACTTCTTTTTGAGTGAAAGACGTAAATACGTCTTTCACATGCTTTTAACTCTAAATCAAAAATACAGAACATGAATAAGGCTGAAATGTGCCAAAACCAAGCTGATTTCATATAAATTGTACTTATATATAATACAATAACTTCATTAAAAGCAAGTTAAAACCAATATAAAATGTAAACACGTTTATTTACCGTGTCAATATTGCTGCTTTGAATTATTAAGTTGGAACTTATTATTTGATCTCATCTTTTTCAGAATGTGGTAGCATTTGATTCTTAAGAAGTTATAACAATAGTAGTAGACCTCTTACATCTTAATTCTTCTCAGTTCCAGTTTCTGATTTTCACTTCACACTATTTTCATTTTCTGGTTCTCATTCCCTAGCACAACAGTGCAATGTCATGCAGGAGATTGCTTAAATTCAAGTAAGTTTACCCTGAAAATCCCACTCCAACAATTTCATGGACATATTTCTGTTTTTGCTAAACATTCTTTTTATAATAGCTTCATTTTGGGCCTAAGCCTACATAACAGTGTCCCTTTAAATAATATTCCATGCCTTGAAACATATTACAAAAACTGTTATATCAAGGTATGTTATGCAACAGCTCTCTATGGTTTTAGCATATTTACTTTGTCACGCCATATGTGAGACTGCAGCCTCCACAACAAAACCTTTACACACTGAAGTCATTATCTCTGTGAAGTCTGCAACTGGCATTTAAAACTTATTGATGGCCTGGGTATTGGTGGCTCAGTAGGCAGCACTCTTGCCGGAGGCCCAGAAGGTCACAGGTTCACATTCTGCTCAAAGAACAAGTTGGATATATTCCAGGATTGTGTGTGGGCTGTACTAGACTCCTAAAGGGGCAGTCCTTAGGACAGCAAGGGAAACCTTGTCTGTTTTCTGGATATCAGAGTCCTCTTAGAAATGGAAGAGGAAGAAAGAGTAAATTTAACATCTGAAGCAAGTTAGTGGAAATGAGTGTACTTGCTGAGGACCTGAATTTAGTTGTATGTGCTAAATACAGAATGGTACAACTACAGTACACAGAACAAGCCATTCTGGTCGTTGTAGTATGTATATATTCAAGAGACGTATACAGACTGCCACACATGCTCAGTATTAGCTAACTTGCTTTATAGCAGAATGATTTTGGATTCAGTACTGCACCCTAGAACTGTGAAAAGCACATGTATAATTTAATTAACTGAGGAATCTAAACAAAAATGTTTTAATGGAGGTAACACTTCAGAGCATACTATGTCATTCCTGAAAAAAATCTTCAGCCAAAGTCAACACTAGCAACATATAGAGAGAAAAATATAAATGGAGATTCGACCTGCTCTGGTGTTAAACTTTGATACTTGAATATCCCAGATGTCTCCCTCCTCCTCTTCTTCTTTATAGACAGGTAAAGATGGATCTCTTGAAGGAACTGGGGATCACACTCTAGGCAAAGGTTGGACAGGTGATCAATGTACAGCATGAGATTTTGCCGTGGCTATGTGCCTCCAACAGTGACTGGATCATCTGGTTTAGAAAAACAATTCAAAATTGTAATATTTTCTACTGAACTTAATTAGGGAAAAATTAGCAAAAGGGAGTACAAATTATTTTCACAACAAGGAATGTCTCATACTTCTTCCCATAACTAGCTCTTACAAAATCATTTCTTATTTAACATTTAATGAGTTAACTTTTTAACTCCTTATAAGCCAGCCCTAAGAGAATTACATCCTATTCACAGATGGGTGTTTTTTAACACACTCATCTTCTGATACTCCCTCCATTGTCATCTGGCTGAAAGAGCATTTTCTAAAGGACCTTTAAGTGCAGCTAAAGTGAGACTTTCCTTCTAGCATTTATGAACACCATCTTTCATCTACTTATCTTATACACAGCACATTTTTTTTTTCTTTTTTAACTGTCACAGAACAGCAAATAATAACCTCCTTCCCAGAATTATTTGTTAGTATGGACAGCAAAAATATCTATTAGTGTAATGGGTAGTGAATAAAAGAGATCACAGATTACAAGCATCCTCAGGCTATCACATAATTAACGTATAAGAAACAAGCTTGTTGTACAAAGCAGGTTAAATGATGGCAGTAATTCTAGTTTAGAAATTAAGTAACATATAACACAATCCCAATAAAAATTTGAAAAGAATTTTAAGTTCATTTTGTTGCTAAAATATGAAATTGAGTTATTTGAAGGAATGAAGGATGTCCTCTTAACCTATGACAACAAATTTGTTTGTCTTTTTCTCTTCTTAGTAAGAAAGCAATTAGTGTTTTGTTTTTTTTTTCCAATAAAAATATCCTCATGCAAATATAAACACTCCTGGTAATCATGCAATTACCTTACCCAATGAGATTAAATTGCTGTCAGTTGAGTTCCCACTGCTGATTAACTTTCATATACTCTAAACTTAAATGAAGTCTTTGGTAAAGTCACTTAGTCATTTACAAAGGTGTCTCTATGACTCAAAAAAGTATAACAGCGATACACTATTTGCTATAATCATCATATATCCAAGGTCAAGGAGAGATCATAGTGGTCCTCTTTTCTAAAAACCTAAAGAAATGCAGAATTAAACTATGTTGCTTATTTTGGTGCTTCTTGCCATGACTTCTAAATGTAATAGTAACCTTTGCCCCCTACACATTAAACACCATAATTATGTAATTAAAACTAATTATGCAATTTAACATACATATTTTTGTCCTGTAACAGGCAGGTCAATTACCTCACTCATTGACCTTAGAAGCTTTCACAGTTTAAATAAAACAATGAGGCTTTCAATTAATTTAAAAGTACAAACAGAAAAGGATCAACGTAACCACAGAAGTCGTCAAGCTAATATCGCCTTAATGGATCACTTACAACTCTCTTCATTTTCTATTACATAAAATAAAATCATTTATTCTTCTTGTATCTTCTAATCATCAGAAATGTTAACACATTTGTGAACAAATCATACAGGTATTATTTGTCAAATGCAAGCAAGCTGGGAGATCATATACTACTCTTTTCTTTGATCCACTTCTCTTCAGTACGGTTTCCTTTGCTTCCTCCTGTATTTGTATACCTCTCTCCCCATTACACCTTCACTTTATGAATTTTTTTCCCCCCTTTTTCTTCATTATTTTCTTTGGTTCCACTGCTAGCTGTAAAACTTAATTGTAAATTTTATATTCTCAAACTGCTGCAGTCAATCTCTTCCAATTTCTGCTTGCTTCCCTAATGCTATCTAAGAGATGGCACTTCATGAGATGATGTTTCTCACCAGGTTCTTGCACCACTGGCTCTTGACCAATGATAATTCAGCACTCTGGAGGGAACAGAGGGAATTCTGGACTGCAGAAAGCTCAAACAAACATGCTATATGCTATTAAAATTTTCCCGATTTTTTAGTGCCAGAAATTTGGTATAAGTGACACACGTTATATGAAATTATTGAAATATGTTTCTGCCAGGTAACGCCTTCACTCTCATCATATACACAGATATACATACATTCTGCACTGAAAACTGAAAATTTTACAACAGAAAACCCTACAATTCTACATTTCAAACAAGGATAGAACTTCTTTCTCTCCATAGCAGGCATGCCTTATCTGCAGCCTGCATGCGGCCCAGCACATTTGTATTGGGGCAGCCCTCCACCATGTACTTCTGGGCAGTACGTGCATTTGTGAACAATTACTGCTGAGGATGAAGTACAGAAAGAGTAAACTTTCATCAAAAAAATCTCTGATGAACATGTGGAGAACTCACTAAGAATTGCAACCACTGCCATCAAACCAGACCGATGTGTTAGTTTCACAAAAACTGGGTCGAACATCCCACTAGCTTTATACTTTTGTAGCTCTCTTTTGTGTATGCTTTAATAAAAATATTACCAGTTGAAATAAGTTTTGTTACTTATAAATACTAGCTGTAGCTTGTATTTTACAAAGATTGCTCTAAAAGTAATGCCTCCCATTTTATTATGTTGGCCCACGACATCAGAAGTGTGGGTGGGATGGCAGTGGAGGTTGAACCCACCCACAAATATTCTGTTATATACTGTTGCTGAATGACACATGGCAGCAGAATGGCAGTCTGACAAAAAGGCACCTCACTTGGAAGTGCATGTGAAGCAAAGGCGTGTCACTGAATTTCTCTGTGTGGAAAAAGTTGCACCCAGTGACATGCATGGATGCTTGCTGAATGTTTACAGAGGCTGAACAGTAGACATGAGCACAGTGAGGTGGCGGGTGGTGCATTTTAGCAGCGGCAACAGCAAGCATTGGTCACTCCACAGCGTGCAGTTTCTGATGAGTGCAGCATGCAGGCCCTTGTTCATCAGTGGTGACAATGCACAGCTAATGGTGATGACTGTGGTGAAAAATATTGTCTTGTAGCTGAGAATTTGCTCTATCGGAGTTACTGTGCTTGCTGTATATGCTGTAGTTTCCATGAAAAATTAATAGGAGGCAATACTTTTGGAGTGGTCTACATATATAAGGGCCAAGACAATTCCTCTTCACTCCATATGGCCCAGGCAAGACAAAAGGTTGGACATCCATCCTTTATAGAGTAAACGGGATAGTCTTAGCACTTTTTTTTTCAGTAAACTAAATCCCATTAGCTAAGACACTATTCTTAAAAATGGTGTGTGTTCTACCTTAAAAAAAGATCATGGTCTGCCAACTACTCCTGCTTTTACAACTGCTGGCTTAGACACAAGTGGTTGCACTAAAGTTAGTACACTCAGCCAGGAAGTAAACTGACAATGTGCATATAGATATACCACTCAAATTTTACATTGTTTTCTCCGTATCTTGCTTTATGTAGGGATCAGAAAATAGCTACTGGCAAAACATCAAAGTCTACACAAATCTTTACTGACTTCTTGAAAGTAAGGCAAAAATATATACAGCAATACAGTGAACTTTGTGTTCCAGTGTCATATCTAACACGATTTTCAGAGGCCTTCAGGTTCTCTGCTTTAACTATGGCCTACTTACATGAGCACCTCAAAAAGATATCAGTAAGCCTTTGACATCACAGAAAAAAAGGAGCGCTGAACTCTGAATGCAGAGTTACAGCAGAAAAGAAACAATTTAAAATGGAAGCAGGCCTTGCAACATTAAACCTCAAATTGGAACGGATTTATATAAAGTAAACCAATGAATTGAAACAGTGCCCCAACTTCTGGACAATAGTTTGAAGGAAAATAATACAGTACACATGTAGAAATGTTATCCATGGGAGCAGAGAAGAGTATTCCTTATACTCTCATTTAACAAAAAGGTTCCTTCTGTTTTGCACGGAATATTAAAATTCTAATTCAGCTCACAGAGCATCCCAAACAGAGCAGCAGAAGAATGTGTGATGGAGTCCAAATATGGTGCTATTGAAGCAGAGTGGATTAGAGGAACTGGGACAGAATCCTACAAGTGGCTAAATAGCAGCAGGAGATCAGCTTCACAAACAGCATGACACTGTTCTTTTCAGACATGAATGACATAATACAAGCAAAACAACTGAGAATTTAGCTGATAAACTTACACATTAGGAAAAGGCCTTACTATAGAACTTTCACATTCAACAGATATATAAGTGAATCCTGGTGCCCTAGTTTACATGGAAGAACATTTTGTCTCATATGAACATGCCAGGTTAATTGTGTAAAACAGAATCCTTTAATAATGTTAGAGGCTAAATGCATTAAACACGAGAGAATTTACTAAGAGACTCAGCAAATGGAGAAGATAAAACCTTTGAAACATTTTAATTTGATGCTTTTGCAAATCTTTAATTCCTTCCTGAACAATTCTATGTATACCACGTTAAATTTACATTTAAAAAACAAAACAAAACAAAAAACAAACAAACAAATATCTGAGACAACTAGAATATGTAGAATGAATCAACAAGAGAATCTCTGGAACTTTGCTGGTTATCCAGAAATTCCTCGTTACACCAGAAATATGAGAGAATTGTTAAGATTTTGAAGATAAGATGGGAACAGGTGCATTTACAAAGACATTACCAAGTTATCACCTGATGAAAAGAAAGAATCAAAAGATCATTTTGATTATTAACTTTAATGGGATTTTATGAAATCTCACATTCATTGTTATATTATTATTATATTACTTTTTAAATATCTTTTAAAAGGATAAGATCCCATGCACTTCCCATTTCATGGTATGAGCAACTAGAAGAGAATTTACTCAATTGCTTTATAGCTAGGCAGATACAAAACATATGAATAGTTTACATATAACATCTTCCTCAAATTCTTCGCCTCTCTGCACAAGAAATCCTTGCAGACTAATTAGTTTAGTAAGTTTTAAATAAATTAGGTCAAGAAGAACAGATTCCAGCCTGGATTAGAAGCCACACTTCTCCCTTGACTCTTAAAACAGTGTGGGACAGAAAATTCTGAGTGGTGAGGTAACTGCAGAAGGCAGAGGAGATAGAGGTAAAGAACACTGGAAATTCATCTGCTGCAGCACTGTTTCTCCAGTGGTGAC